CCCCCTAATCCTAGCTCCCAGGCCTTCCGGAGAGCTACGTCCACCACCTCCTGGCGCTGTTTGGAGGCTTTCTAGAACGGCTTAGGGCTTAAGGTTCAAGGTTTAGAGGGCTTAAGGTTTAGGGTTTAGGTTTAAGTTTTAAGGTTTAAGGTTTAGGGCTTTAGGAGGCTGCAGAAGGGTTCCCTTACAGGCTTTGTATAGGGCATCAAAAGGGGGTGCAGGTTTTGTCTGGCCGGGAAAAACTTTCACTTTCAATTTGGGGCTGGCAAGATTTATAAGGATCCTGCGCACGTCTGTGGCTGCCTTTGCGGTGTCGTTTACCTGGGTTCTACAAGTTACAAGGGCTGCAGGGTTAAATCTAGGGGACTCATAACTCATACTGGGGCTTGAGTGATTCAGGGTTGTAGAAACGCTTTGTAAAGGTACTCTGGCGTTTTGGAGGGGCGTATAGACGGGGCGTCGTGACTGGGCTGGGGTTTGGGGATGCAATATACGAAAGATATTAAAAACGATGAGGAATGGCAGGATTGGCATTCTTGTGGAATCTTCTAGGTTAGGCTGTGCAGGCTTAACTAGGCTGTGCTTCGACGCATGATGAGCTATTCTATAGCTAAGAGCCAGCGGCCCAAAATGAAAGAGAATGGTACTGCACTTCAGGGCCTATGTAACTGAAACCCCATAAAGCTACACCCTAAACAATAAATCCTAAACCCTAAACCCTTAAATCCGAAACCCTAAACCCTAAACCCTAAACCCTAAATCCTAAGCCCCCCTACAACGTCCTGCACCGAAACCTCCTCCGGCTCGGGGCAGCAGGCATCGGAGAGAGCATGGGGCACCCGGAGTCCCCTCCTGGCTGCTTTTTGGGGTGTTAGGTTTATGTAGGGTTAGGGTTTAGGGTTTAGGGTTTAGGGTCTAGGGTTTAGGGTTTAGGGTTTATGGAGGTTCGGTTTTGGAAAAGCTTTTGGAAGGGCTCTATGCTACTTTAGCAGGGCTTCTGCCTTATCACGCTTTTTTGGTACTATACTGTTTGCAGGGGCTTGAAAACGTGAGGATCTACATTAATTAATGTTGTGGAGCAGAGCCAAACTTGCCATCAGAAGACCTTGTATATTCCTTCGATTATCGTAACCATGATTGAATAAGCAGCTCGTATAACAGGAAGCCCCCCGATGTGCCTCCAGCATGCCGAGCAGACGTGCGCCTGGCAGACTAACAGACTCGACACCTTCTTGGGTTGATGACGCAACCGCATTCTCTAACATTGCAGCAATTAGATCAGCTCTATACCATGTAGGGCCTCATGTAAGGCCCACATCATGTAGGGGCCAGCAATCAAAAACAACAACGGAGCACATTTATCTTAAGGTACAATGGAAGGAACCCTCAGAAGGGACCCCTAATCCTAATACCCTATACAACCCTTATATAGTCTCATAAAGCCCCTATATAATGGTCGCTACTTTAGTCCCTTGTTTAACTAGAAAGTCAGCCCGGGGAATCAGCCTAAAAATCCAGTAATCTTCCCTGCAACCTTCAGGTTATCTTCGGGGCCTTCATATATACTCGTACCATTCTTGAGATATCCTTACTATTAATATTATTATTATTATTGTTATTATTATTGTTTTTATTTATTTATTTGTTTATTCATTATTATTATTACTATTATTATTATTATTATTATTATTCGTATTATCATTATATTTTGTATAATGTCCCCCAAAACCCCGCTAGGCCTTTAAGGCGACACTCGATGTGTGAGTCGTTGCGAGTGGAGGGCGAGGAGCTGAAAGCAATGTTCTTGCAACTAAATAGACAACGTACTTAGCGCAGAGTCTGCGATAATGTGGTTGCGGTTTTAGAAGCTCCTAGAGTCACCCCTAAGCCCTAAACCCTAAACCCTAAACCCTTAGATGACAAACCAACCTACCAACGGAGCCAAGACACTGAACCGCAGCCGTCGCCCTTCTTGCAGCGACCGCGATTGTAGAGACGACACCTCTTTTGGGGGTAACCCCTAGCGCCCTGCACCTGGACCCTAAACCCTAGACCCTAAACCCTAAACGCCCTAAAACCCTAAACCCCAAAACCCTAGCGCCGTAAAACCCTAAGATCTCTAACCTCCCTAGCCCGAGTCTCCTGATGTTGGGGCTTTTAATTGTGTTTTTAGGGTTTTTAAGCCCCATGATACTAGAGTTATAACACGGAAGCCCCCCCCCCAAAACTAGTATAGGTACTTCTTTCGGCCCCTCTATTACAGTAGCCTATAGTTAAAATACAAAAGCCCCCCCTCCAAAAAAAAAAAAAATAGTATAGGTAATTCTG